ATTTGCGCCATACTCTTTCTGCAGCTCTGAGCTTAGAACGATGCTCATGGAGATCATCAGATAGCCAAGGGGCAGAAGAGGTGGTACGAGCTGGCCTGGAAGACAAGGGGCAGACAGTGTCTAAACAAGACGTAAGAGTGGAGCAGAAAGTATCAGTAGCACTGTTAACATCAACCTGGGCCTGGGTAACTTTTGAGGTCTGGTACAAATTATGACATAAAAATACATAGGCTATATGCTCATGGATTAATCATTAAAAGATCGCGATCTCGATTCAAACACACGCAATCTTATTGCTATGACGATGATTCCACTACGTATATTAAACATTTGAAATCACAATCACATCGGAATATTTAAACTTGCTTTCGCGCAGCCGCTGATCCAGAGAGAGCAGCGCTCATCATGTAAGCTTTATGTTTGAAACACCTTCACAAACAGTCTACACAGTAGGTTACATTTCTGTGTTGCAAACATTAAATACTAATAACTAAAGTATTGGGATAAAAGTTTATAGTCCGGATATAGCTGATGTTGCAGCAGCCACACATTCAAAATGAGAAACTGACGAAACTGACCCATGTTACGCTTCAAATAAAGATTGTAGGCCTATATGTTACATTATGCCAGTAGGTAGCGTAGGTAGCGAGTTAAAATTTTCAAATATTTTTTTTTACATATTTTTATTTTTAATAGGCTCATTCATAACATTTTAGACTCATTTATAACATTAAATAAAACATTTTGTAAGAAACCTAAGTGAATTAGCCTATATATTATTTTGTTTTTGTCTAATGTTTTGTTTTCAGAATCGTGGGAGAACCATGAGAACCATGATAAAAATCAATTATCCAGAGTCATAGCTTAATAAATAATATCTGGCATTTAACTAATAGCCCTAATAGCCTACTGTTTCTAATAGCCTATTAAAACGTAGACTAGGATGTAAAATGTACAATCTTACAGACTTTATGTAGTACAACAACAAGGATTTGGTACATTTATAATGCATTATAATGCCGCTTCTCATCCAGTGTGCGAAGTTCTGCAAAAAAAACACCCCCACCCCCCCTCTTTTGGTACGTTACGCGATCCATGGTTTGACCAATAACATGCAGGCATTCTAGATAATCAACCATTCGTGGCGCGTGAGAAGGGGGGATCTACAGAGAACAGTCAAAGCATGGCAAATACGCGTACATATTAGGTGTGTTCAACTAGAAGCAGCACTGCGCAGACTGATCGATGTATGACATGAAAGTACCGTGAGAGCGATTCGAAAGCATAAGGAGCCGGCTGCTCTTTATAGCTCTCACTGTACTGTGAGATGTTATACACCGATCGGTCTGCGCAGCGCAAACAAAGCCAAAACTTGGATATTTTAGGCAATATAGAAATCCTGACCAGGATGTGTCCTGGAATGAGGGCACATATGGTCACCCTACCATAGATGCTGCTGTTAATTTGTTTTTATTAAGATTATTATTAACTATGTTTTTGTTTTCTTGTAGATTCAGTTCCAGATAATACAGGATTACCCTACACAAGCTTTGACCACTCCAAAGCTCATTTCTACAGATACGACGAGCAGGTCTCTCTGTGTTTGGAGAGGCAAAGGTAGGAAGATAGCAGTAAAGATATTTCACAATATTACTGTGTATTTCTGATCAAATAAATGCGTACTTGGTGAGCATAAGAGACCTCTTTTAAAAACTTAAAAACTCCAAGCTTTTGAACGGTTAGCTTAGGTGCATCAAAATAATCCTATCATAATTTCTTCTTGTTTTTACAGCTCGTCATTTCCTGGGAAGGACAAAAATAAATTAACTCTACAGGTAAGACAACAGCCGAAGAAGGAATATGAATGTACATTGATTCACTCAAGTAAACCTTCACATTGGTTGCTTTTTCTATTAGAAGCGATGATAAATGTGTTAATTTTATATTATGTTTATGCAGCAGAAATTTGTACGTTGTTCGGTCAGGGCTGAGGTACGACATCTGAGGAAAGTGTTATGTCATCGACTTAACGTGGAGAAACATCAGGTGTGACTTTTTTTTTTCTCTGTCATGCTTTAAGGAGCCTTTATAGTTAGGACCAGAAAGCCACATAATTGTGCAAGTTTTACATCACATTTATTCAGTTCAGTCATTCCTATTTTCAAAATATAAATAAAATAAATAAATAGCTAGTGGTCTCTGGACTACTAATTTAATTCATTATTTGTTTTTAACTATATGCAATTGCAACCTGTTATAAAATTCATTCAGTATACAAAATGGTACATATGAATGTGTTTTTCTGAAGTAGGAAACAAAGAATTCACCCATTTTCTGTTGCTGAAGTCTATCGTTGAGCTTACAGCTGATTGGTCTGTTGTCAGTGAAGGTGATGTGTGGCTTTAGTGCTTCCAGACACTGTGTTAGACAAACAGACAACATATTGATTGTATAAATGCATGTATGATTTGTACATCCCAGTTAGGAGAATTTGATGTTCAGTTCCATAATAGAAAAACAAAAAAAATCAATGTTCAAATAGGATGACCAGCTAAAAATACATTTTTCTAATGGTGAAATGTAATTAGCAAGATTTTAAACTAAACCTCTCATTGTTTTCATTTCCATCCTCCTGCCCTTTTTTCTTCACTCTTCATTGAGAGGAGTGATCGATATACATTAAGGTCAGTAGGATTTTGTGATTTGCGCCATACTCTTTCTGCAGCTCTGAGCTTAGAACGATGCTCATGGAGATCATCAGATAGCCAAGGGGCAGAAGAGGTGGTACGAGCTGGCCTGGAAGACAAGGGGCAGACAGTGTCTAAACAAGACGTAAGAGTGGAGCAGAAAGTATCAGTAGCACTGTTAACATCAACCTGGGCCTGGGTAACTTTTGAGGTCTGGTACAAATTATGACATAAAAATACATAGGCTATATGCTCATGGATTAATCATTAAAAGATCGCGATCTCGAGTTATACACACACAATCTTATTGCTATGACGATGATTCCACTACGTATATTAAACATTTGAAATCACAATCACATCGGAATATTTAAACTTGCTTTCGCGCAGCCGCTGATCCAGAGAGAGCAGCGCTCATCATGTAAGCTTTATGTTTGAAACACCTTCACAAACAGTCTACACAGTAGGTTACATTTCTGTGTTGCAAACATTAAATACTAATAACTAAAGTATTGGGATAAAAGTTTATAGTCCGGATATAGCTGATGTTGCAGCAGCCACACATTCAAAATGAGAAACTGACCTTTGGAACTCATGTTACGCTTCAAATAAAGATTGTAGGCCTATATGTTACATTATGCCAGTAGGTAGCGACCAGTGACTGTTAAAATGCATTTGATGTCTAATTCATTCACTCAAGAGATTCGTTCAAAAACGATCGAATCAAGTTCATTTATTTCAAATATTTTTTTTTACATATTTTTATTTTTAATAGGCTCATTCATAACATTTTAGACTCATTTATAACATTAAATAAAACATTTTGTAAGAAACCTAAGTGAATTAGCCTATATATTATTTTGTTTTTGTCTAATGTTTTGTTTTCAGAATCGTGGGAGAACCATGATCTCTATTCTAAAAATCAATTATCCAGAGTCATAGCTTAATAAATAATATCTGGCATTTAACTAATAGCCTACTATTATTACTGTTTCTAATAGCCTATTAAAACGTAGACTAGGATGTAAAATGTACAATCTTACAGACTTTATGTAGTACAACAACAAGGGTTTGGTACATTTATAATGCATTATAATCAGGGCTGGGAAGGTTACTTTTAAAATGTATTTCACTACAGATTACAAAATACAAGCTTTAAAAAGTAATCAGTAATGTATTTCGTTAGATTACTCAGGTTTAGTAACTTAATCTAAATACTTTAGAATACTTTGAAATACTTAAGCTATGTAACACAAAGGAACATATTAACTTGATGTCTTGTTTTTATGCTTTCCAACTCTAAATAAAAGTGACATCTACCAGTCATAAGATTTGTGTTTTCTTTGCATTTTGTTTTTAACAACATCAGTTTTCCACAGCATTTCTTTTATCAACAACAAAAAAATGTTACGTCATTTAAATCTACCAATCAATATAAATTCAATTTGAATACAATGAATGGGATTCCATGCTGTTTCATACTGCATTCCAAGCTTCAAAACGAATCCAAACACATAATAAAAGTAGCCAAAACAACTGGCACAGTTCTCCAAGTTATACAGTAGATTTGTTTAATGAATGGACCAAACTTTAAGTGATGATAATCCTCTCTATGGAGAAGCGATTGGCACAAAAGAATCGCTGAGTCAAAATTGACAGGGCTCGTTTCCCAAAGCAACAGTCGCAAGCAATGTCGTTATAGTTCAATATTTATCAACCACAGTTCGCTAACGATGCTTTTGGGAAACACACCTCAGATCTATCCAGTTTGTTAACCATTCACACTGGTTTCGTTAAACAAAAGAAATGATTCATTTAAAAGATTGACTCAAAAGAATCATCTGTTCACGAATCGGATCATGAACTCGCATTACCGCACCAAAGATGATCTATTCTTGAACATTTCGAATGAATAAAGACTTCAAGTTCATCTGTAAAGCACACAAAGCTATCGTTTGACTTTATAAACTTTTATTTCATGCATGACCATGTATGCACTCTCACTCAGTGTTGCCAGATTGGATGGACGATTTCCAGCCCAGAAGCTCACAAAAACCCGCCCAAAACTTTAACTGTCAAAATAATGT